GGTACAATTATGTGTTGCAGGAGGGTTGGGTGGACAAGAGATTTGTTGCGCTTGAGGACCTAGCATTTAGGATGTATAGTCCTTCGAAATTAGCTAGAATATGGAATTCACCCCAAAAACAAATTAACATGTCCTTGTACCCTGATTATATTCTATCTGCTTAACGGGGGCTATACGGGTGAAGAGTCTCGAGTTCAGAATTAGGGTTCAGGGCTGCAAGGGACGGGGGATTCTGGTTGTGTTGCTATGTATGCTGACCCATCCCCTAGAAGCCCGGGTGCATGACTTAAGGGAAGGTAATTTTAACTTTCGCAGAAGGTTGCATGTTCAGGACAGTTGAAGTTTCTGCATTGGGGCGTGGGGGTTTGCTTTTTGCATATGGGCCCTAAATCCTAAACCCTACACTCCTACACGCTACCTTGAGGGCAGCACGGATGGACCGGAAGCAGCCCAACTGTCAATGGATATCTGCCCTGGAGAGGCTACACACCTGCGCTGACTTTAGAGAACCCTAAGCCCTAGCCTTCCAAGAAAGATAGACCCCCCTCTCCGAAAGCGCTTTTTCTGGCCTTTGGTTAGCTGGGAATGAATGAAGGGAAAAGAATATTTAAACTGGAAACTTCTATAATGGATTATATAGGGATTACTATAAGGATTCATTCCTTCATTCCTAGCTAGCCCAAGGCCAGTTTTTGGTCCGTATTAGGCCGAGGTTGGGTCCAACATCAGGGCGAAGGAGCCTTTTTTTTGGTGCTGTCATAAGCAAAGCCGCATACCTGATTATCATTATCATTTTTTACTTGTTGCTACTCGTACTATTAGGAGTGTGCTTTATTAATATTATTGATTATGATTATTAAGAGCCCTTTAGAACTTTGTCAAAAGTAGCACAACCCTCAATGGATCTATGCCCTCGCAACGGGGTCCATCGTAGTTCTCCACAGAAACCAAGTTGCCCCAGCACCCACACCCAGTCAGCGCTTGCGAATGAGCCGTGCGATGTGGGTTTTCTCAAAATTTGGGGAACCCTCATGGGGGTCGGGTCCTCAGAATAAGGATTACGGCATTTTGGGGTCTATATTGGGGTCCCCCTATTGAGGGAAACTACCATATCCTTACATCCACCCTGCTGACTGTCCTGCCTAAACCCTAGGCCTAAGCCCAATACCTTAAGCCTAAACCCAAAACCCTAACCGTAAATCTTTGAAGACGTATTGGCAAGCCTCACTCCTAGCATAGAAAGTTGCCAGGGTTCCACTTCCTGTGCTACAACTCTAAGGGTGTCAGGGTCTTAGGGTTTTAGGGTTTAGGGTTGAAGCCCGCAACACTAGTGCCTAAAGCCAATCTCCTCAAGTCTCAACCCCTCAAACTAAAAGCATAAGGCCGAGACTCTAAAGCCAGAGGCCCCCACACTACAAGCCTAAAGCCAAAACCCTGACAGAAAAAGACAAATGGCCATTAGCATTGCCCCCGAAGCCACGACTCCAGGAGTTATCCTCGGCAATCGACCTGGTCAACCAATGCAGAAAAGAGACGCTTCGATGGCAAGCTTTTTGTTTAGCAGCCCTAAACCCCAAACTCCAGCCAGGATTGTTCCGTTGCTTGCACAGAACCCAAACCTCACCCCGGTTGTTTAGGACAAGTACTTCAGAGGCCTTCGTTGTCATCATTTGGGTCATTCCCCCACCCAGTAACTGTCCTTAAAGGTGGCCTTATTAAGGGGCTATTATAATTCCTGTTACCCCTTGTGGTAACTGTTACTGTCGGGGGAACAACCCTAGTCATCATAGGCTTTAGTCAGGTCTTAAAGCTTTGCCACATCAAGAGGTCCGCTGGGAAGCCTCAGGGGACCTCACGGAATGCTTGGGGGGTCAGGGGGACTTAATAAGTAGGTTAAGAATGGGATAATTGGGGTTATTCTATAGATTATAGGGGTTAGTAACCCACTTACTAAGTCCCCCTGACCCTCCAAGTCGTCGTTTTGGGTGCCCTTTTGGGATTGGAGATTGGAGACGTAGGGCCCAATAAGCATGAGGTTGGCGGGGTATACTCTAGCAACATTGTATCAGTATAATTGATTTGAAGACTTGAAGACTAGTAAAAGGGATGTTGCTACTCTGAATTTGGTTAGATTTAAGACTAGCTATTTAGAGAGAACTTCTGAAGATCATTCGAAAGCTCTTATCTAGGGGGTTCTTGAGGCTTCTGAATGGGTAGAGTGTTGTTATAGTCTGCCTGGGCCCTTAACAGTGCTGACTGAAGGCATCCCAGTCTTCCGTCTAAGGGGATTTGGGGTTTAGGGTCCCTAAACGGTTTGGTTTAGGGTCCCTAAAGGGTCTAGGGTTTAGGGTCCCTAAGCGGTTTAGGGTTTACGGTTTAGTGTCCCTAAACCTTATACTCCAACCGTCAAGCTGATACCTCTGTGCTTGTCACGACCTTATTTCGAGGGTTGCTGTAACCAAGCTACTCTTTTACCAATTAGGGTTTGGGGTTTGGGGTTTAGGGTGTTATATAGCCCCATTTTCTTCTTCCATTGAATTTATTTTCCATCTGATTGTCTATGATTGTGGTTGGTAATTACTCTGGTTCTTTCTCTAGGCAGAACCCTCACCGACCATTTGCAGCGCGCTCTTTGGCATAATGTATAGAAGTAGGGTTCCGCAGTATAGTAGCATATTGTGGTTATAAGTCAGCACTTGAAAGGAGTCATAGTCTGACTGGTAAGTATTCTGGCTCCTACAGTCGCCGTCGCTGCAGTTTTGAGAGCCGTAGCCCTGTGTTCTACCGTGCCCTAGGCCGTAATCCCTGCTTTTACTTATGCAGGATGCAGCTCTGCACTGCATTTACTCCTACTCAGCCGCCTCACCCCAAACCTTGGGTTTGGGGGTTCGCCTAGGGTTTAGGGTCTTGGACCAACCACCACCGCTAAGCAACGCTGGAGCCCTGGTCCCGCAATTTAGGGCCTGCGGCACGGGCCGGCCTGGCCGCCACCCCCCTTGCCCACCCAGTTCTTGTTGCCTGGGATGTTTTTTAGGTTTTGAAGACCCTGTTCTCTCTAGTTTAACTGAAAGTGGCCAAAAAGTGGGGTCCCAATTGTGTCGATGATGTTCCTGTACGAGGCGCGCGCGCGCGCCTCGTACAGGAACATCAGCTGCACAATTGGGACCCCATGTTGGCTTGATTGGGAGCAAAAGGGGTCAAAAACCCAAGGAAGACCATCAAAGATGACTTTAGACATGGTTCTTTGTGCAGGCTGACCATGTTCTAGCCCACAATTGCATTTCACTGGTATTTGCAGCCACGAACACTGCCCACAGCGTGCATTTTGAGCGTTTTGTTGGGGTTTATAGCGCATTTCAAGCGCCCTGC